TGATTTTGGAGGATGAAAAATGTTGGGGTAACGTTATTCATGATGACGATTATTTCGTCATGAAAGCATTCCAAACTTTCTTCAGGTAATATCATTTTTTTCATTGTGAAATGAGATGTATTGATAATCATTGGAGGGAAACTTGTTTTTTTACAAGTTTTTATAATTATCGACAACAAAAGGGTTTGAAAGAATTCAATCCTTTTGGAAAGGAAAACGGATTATCGTTTACAAAAATTTGGAGATAAGATTGTCACGGCTTTTAATTAAGTGAGGTTGATCTCGCATGCTTTATTAATTATTTATATTTGAATTCTATTTGTGATTGATATTAATAATTTCCCAAGGAAACTCTATATCTAAAAAAATATGATCAATTTAGGCAATCTGAATTGACAAAATTGTTCACGCAGCAAGTTCCCGGCAAAACGAGGGAAACGGGTTGTACAAATTTCATCATATTACTTTGGGTGTAATTTTGATAATGCATAATAATGTCCGTTTTAAACTGCGGTAAATACAACTTTAAAAAACAACTACCCATATGCAAAGATAATAATCAAGTGCCAAGCGAGCAAAGCAAAAAGCCAACGAAGCACAACATGTAAAGTGCCATGATGCCATAGGTTGCGCAGTATCTATCCCATATAAAAAAAGAATAAGAAACGCCACAAATATTTTCTCATGAATAATGAACCACAAACGAGGAAACCTTGCATTTTTATTTAAACCTTTTTTTGGACGAGTAATTTTTTGGGGTTAAAATGGGTGAGTGTGGCCCAAAATGTAGGGTTCTCGTAATTGTGTGATTATTGTGATGTTACAAGTTTTACACCAAAAAACGTTAGAGTAATGAGTTTCATAAACAACAAAAATAATTAATTGAATAAAATAAAAATTTAAACGATATTATTTCTACAAAAGAATGCGCAAATTTTTTTTTTTTTTTTTTTTTTTTTTTTTTGTTTTTACTTTACAATGTCAAGATTCTTTTTTTTTTTTTTAAAAGTAGTTTCTTTTTTTAGTTAAAAAAAAATTCGATATTGCAGTTCATGTGCCCATTGAAAGATAAATGGAAATTTGTAGATGCATGTATAATGTAGATTGACAGACTTGACAAACATTCTTTTCTTGATTTTCTTTTAAAAATTTTTTGCGGAAGTACCATGGGATGATATCAACAATACTGTATAATACTAGTCGCACATACCAATTCGTGATAGTAAACGCTTTGAGAGATTTCCTAATCGAGCCTCTTATTACTTCTGCGGCGGAATAAACCAGATTGCAAACATGTTAATTCAAGTTATACATTCACTTCTTTTGGATCTATCACATTAATTGATAGGGGTCATATTCAACCTTTTATATTCACAATAAAAAATCCAAACTAAACCAATTTAGGAAACTTATATAGAATGTTAATTGTAAATTTCGTTATTAACAACATGACAATGTGTTACTACATTAATATCTCTAATTTGAAGAAAGTCGGTGTAACTAAATTTTGCATGGTTGTGTAGAGGTTTGATTGGATGTGTTAATGGCCTTTGTCAATAGTTATTGTGTTGACTAATGTGTTTTAAAAATGATGACACTTTTTCATTTCCGTTCGATCGTTTTTTTTTCACTTCAGCATGACCTTATCTTTTGCCCAAGGAGGATATTTCAAACAGAGTTACATGGCTGAAAAAAACCAATGTGTTCGTGCGTTTGCATTTGATATACGTAATTATTGGAAAAGGTCCGAAGATTACGATATTTCATTACTGCGTTATTTATATCATTAGATAATTAATCGGATATTTCGTTTCATGAATGTAATGGTTACATAAGTTCAAAATATAATTAATAATTTAAACAAGGACATTCTTTGTATTTTTTGTTCATAACCTTAATTTTGATAAAAAAAATTAATTAAATGCATGCTTTTAATTAAAATTCATTATGATAAATATCGGAACATTATTTCCTTCTTTGAAAATTGATTTAAGGAGAATTTTTGATGATAAGAGAAAAATTACATTGTAATCGTACATTCAACCTTAAAATGTTCTAACTTGCATTTTTTTTTTTTTTTTTTGTAAAATTAATAAAAACAGATCTCACATGATTCTCTCTCCACACATGACTTGATGTTATGCTTTATCGCCCACATGACTTGCCCAAATTTCATTGTTCATTTTACCAAGGTTTAACCATAACTGCGAATACAAAGAAAGTGGACAAGTCGACCGGAAGAACCACTTGCTTTCTTATTCGATCATTTGATCAAGTCCAATGACCCGAATGTTTTTTATTATTTGTAATAAGATTTACTAAAAATCATCTTCACATGCAAATTTGAGAAACGCTCATATGATCACGAATTAGAGTTTATTTCACTACGCGTCTTCTTCTTTTATACCGTCTCGTGAGCTTTGCTGATTTTATTTATCATTTGATATCGGAAACATTGCATATTACACAAACGCACACAAGTTGAATTCTCTCTCCCATGATTTTTTTTTTCATAAAAATATGCAAGACGATATCATGGGGGAAGGAATTTCCTTTTAATTACGGTGCGTACCTCTTTTTTTTTTTTCTTGACTTATCAGTTGGATTATACATTCACTCTTTTGGGTAATCATATTCAATCAAACATCTATTACCATAATAATAAAAAGTATAACCCTGAATTTTCAATAACTGCCACAAAATTAAACACGGACCCGCAGTCATTGTTTGCTTTCCTTTTTGGAAGGTATTACGTAGGAATTATCTGTTGATGATTACATAGCGATTTTAATTTCTATCAATATTGTGCTACCGAGAGCAACTCTTGTGTTTTATTTGTAATACATGAAATGCCGTAATTGTTGCGGTCAATGAGCAACTGCGGTCGCTTTTTCAGACGCTAAACATATTTGTCATATTAGTCAAGAGGCGAATGAAGTGGGGTGGCCCCCCCAAATTGCGTCCCCATTTCTCTATTCAATCGAAACACATTTTTATTTTATAATAGCTAATGTTGTGGCTTATCACAACAGGTCCCATTTATTTTTTAATTATGAAACAATCATGATATCATATACATTTTCATAATAAAGCAACAAGAAAATTTGGATTATTAATTCGTAACTTCCTGAGGTTATTAAATTTTTTTTTTAAAAAAAAAAAAATACGTCAATCTTTGCTTTCATTCAGATAATGATACCTTTTTTTTTTTTTTTTTTTTTTTTTTTTTTTTTTTTAGACATGCTATTGTAGGAAAATTTAAAACGGAAAATTATCTAAAAAAATTTTTTTTATGTATGTTTAAATATGTTAATCGGATTCCTCATTTAGTCCAGAGGAAAAAATCTTATATTCTTCATTTATTAAAGATAAGTATTATGTTCAAAGAAACGGTCCCACCAAATGACAACAATACAAAAATGGCTAGTCTACTACGGCGAATTTCCCTTCTCCCTAGAATAATTTAAAATTTTTTTTGAAAAATAATATGAAGAATAAAAAATCTTTTTTTTTTTCCTAATTGTGATCAAATTAGGAAATGTTCTCTTTGTTAATGAAATGTTATATTGTTATTTCTTTGGCTGGTGGTGTTACTTCCATTATTCCTCTTAAAGATTACAAAAATGGTTGGAACGAAATGCGGGCCAAAAAGTTATTCACTTTATACAATGATTTTGGTAGGGAAGGGAGGAGTGTGGGGATGATGTGATTCGATTTTTTTTTCCTGCAAAAAAAAAATTATGAAAGATGCACACTTTGCTTGAATGACCCGTGTAAGACTGATTCTTATTGAGGGATGGAATAAAAAAAACCCCATCGTTAATTTGCATTAGTAAGCATTCAATTGAAATGAGTCTTTGCGGAAAGTATGGATAAAAGTTCTCACGAGTTGGCCTTTTCTGATAGAATTGACTTCCTTTTGCTTGTTACCAATTGTCAACCACACGTATTTTTTGTTTTATTTATTTTTAAAAAATTACAAATTACCGAAGCTTCTGATTCGCGTTAGCGCAAGTTTTTTTTTTTTATTTATCTTTTTTTTTTTTTTTTTCTTCCAAACAGCAACTCGTGACTTGGAAAATTCTTTAAAGTGTCACCCCGCATGACTCATGACCGATACATGACCGGTGACCCAAAACTTACCCAGGTACATCTATTGAACCATTATTCTTACCAAATTATCTTTTCTCAAGAGTGAAAAATGACCCCTGACTTCATGGAAAGTCCACAAAAGAATTCTTGGACAAAAAGATAAAAAGATTTGCCAAGCTAGATAAAAAGTGTTGTCAAAGAAATTTCTATTTGATTATTCAGCTAGTTTGTTGATTTTTTCCTCAATAAACAATCGCAAATTTACACAGGATCACCACGTTTTATTTTTTTACGTCCAAATCTGCAAGCCCTTTAAATTGCATTTACGTTTAATAGGTAACCCCAATGAAGAGAACTCATTTCGCTTTGCTTTTTTGTGCCACAATTCGAAGGAATTTTTTGACTTCATATATAATAAATATGTGCTTACCACATTCATAATTTTTGTGAAAAATTGATTTGAAAGTTACAATCTTTTCATGGGGACAAATCAAATTTCATTCATAAATAACAAACAAAGACATGTCGATTTCTACGAAAAAAAAAAAAAAAACAAAAAAAAAAGGTATTGCAAAGCTTTTTTTTTTTTCCCAAGCACCGTATTTCTTTTTCGTAAAACAATATCAAAGCGAATGAATGTTTTTGCTTAAACGGAATCTCCGCTTGATAAGTACCTCTCATTATGTTTCAGATGGACAAAATTGGCAATATATGTGAAACGAGCCACCGAACCTGAAAACGTCCATGTTGAAATTGTCACATTTTAATTTTTGGCGTGTAACCGATGGAACCGAATGTTTTTTTTATGGAAAAGACGGACAATATACAAAAAAAAAAAAAAAAAAAAAATCTTGAAAAATTCCGGCCGGTCATGAATGATATCGTCACCTTTTTTACGATCAAATTTATTACAATAATAAGATGTAACGCACAAATAAACCCCCCAATGTTGGATAATAATGGAATAAATTTGGAAGGGAGTTTTTGATGAGTCGAATATTGAAAATATATATTTAATTTAATTTTAGTAAATTGGGGGTCCATAAACTAATTTAGCTTTTTGATAAGGAAATTTTCAGGAGTGGTTCATTTTTTTTAAAATATTTTTATTTATTAATTTTATTTATTAATTTATTTTTTTTCGGTTTCAGCCACT